ATAGCAGGGATTGTGGGGCTGGTGCGGGATCGGGCAGTGTTTCGTTCTGCTGTGCATGGGGTCGCTATGAGTCGTAAACGACTCGACGGCACTTAACAACAACAACAACAACAAGCTTGACAGATTTTATGTAGGTAGGCAGTCTGTGGTAGATTTTCACACATTTTATGAAGCAAAGTAAGAGAAAGAACCATTAAAACTTCCCATTTCCTAGAAAGAAAAATAGATGCACCCTGTGATAATTTCCTGCGCCTCTACTGAGAGATCCTGAGTTAATTTTGGAGGTATGTGTTTACAGTTCTGAGTCAGAACGCCTGTAGCCTTGCGTTGTAAAATCTGCAGTCTAGGCTTAACTCATGCCTTACCAAAAGGCCAACCCATTTGTGTTGAGAAGCAAAGATGCTGTTTTGAAGACTAAGGTGCATCTGACCCAAGGCATGGTATTTTTAGTCACCTCATATGCATGTGAAAGATGTACAGTGAATAAGGAAGATGGAAGAAGAGTTGAAGCCTTTGAATTGTGATGTTGGGAAAGAATACTGAAACTACCATGGGCTGCCAGGAAAATGAACAAATCTGCCTTGGAAGACGTGCAGCTGGAATGCTCTATGGAAGAGAGAATGGCCAGACTTTGTCTCACCTGTTTTGGTCCTGTTGTCAGAAGGGACCATTCCCTGGAGAAGGATATAATGCTTGTCAAAGTAGAGGGTCAGCAAAGAAGACCCTCAACAAGATGTACTGACACAGTGGCTGCAATGATGGGCTCAAGCATAGTGGGGATTATGAGGATGGCACAGGACTGGGTGGTGTTTCATTCTGTTGTACATACGGTTGTTATGAGTCAGAGCCGACTTGACAGCACCTAACACCACCACCACCAGTGTGTTTAAGGGGACACCCTAACAGGAGCAGAGGTGCACCTACGTCCCCTTTGTTAAAGAAAATTTCTGTTTATTTACCCTTAAAAGCAGGAAAAGAAAGGTTCTGGGAGATGTTGGGTCTCTGAATCTTGAAGGGGGAAGTTTGAGGGAGGACTCTTTCCAAGGGGTATGAAGTTAACCCAGAAGGAGAATAGGAAGATCAGAAGTGGAAAAAGGTAGAGGACCGGAAGACCAGAGTATGGGAAGTTGTGGCAGGGAAATGGAGGAAAGTGAATTTTGGGAGACTGAGGCCCAGGTAGAGGGGAGGTCTGAAGTGGGAGCTGAGAGCACAGGAGCAGTGCAGCCTGTGGTGGAGAGTCATTTGTGTCAGGTAGAGCAGAGTGCTGGTACCACTGCCATTGAGTCGATTCTGACTCAGCAACCCTATAAACCAAAACCAAACTCACTGCCATTGAGTCGATTCTGACTCATGGCAACCCCCTTTGGGTTTGGAAGTAAATTGCCCAGTCTTCTTCTGCAGAGTGGCTGGTGGATTTGAACTGCCAACCTTCTAGTTAGCAGTCAAATGCCTTAGGCACTATGCCACCAGAGCTCCTTCAGCAACTTTATAGGACATCTTAAAACTGTCCCATAGGGTTTCCAAGGCTGTAAATCTTTACAAAAGCAGACTGCCTCATCTTTCTCCCACAGACCAACTGGTGGGTTCAAACCTCCAACCTTTTGGTTAGCAGCTGAATGCCTTAGAGTGCAGGGATTGTATTATTCTGAGTGTGGTAGCATCTCTTCTCATTCTGCTACGATATGACTTTTGTGTGAAGATGGAATCACCCATAGTCCCCAGATATTACTGTTTTTTAATTTTTGTATAGTGCCTATCCTTCCAGACTTTTACAGTAATTACTTATTCCCTCGCTCTCCTTACACATACACTCTATTACATGTTGTTGTTATGTGCCATCGAGTTGGACCCGATTCATAGCGACCCCTCCTTGGGTTTCCGAGGCAGTATCACTACGGAAGTAGATTGCCCCATCTTCCTTCCGAGGAGTGGCTGGTGGGTTTGAACCGTCAGCCTTCTGGTTAGCAGCCAAGTGCCTTAGGCACTATGCTACCAGAGCTCCCATTTTATATATATGTATATATATATATATATACATACATATATATATATATATATATATATATATATATATATATATATATATATATATATATATATATATATATATATATATGTAAATGTTTGCAGTTCTTAACCTGTGTTTTTTTAATTAACAATATGCTGTCAGCATTTTTTCACACACTGATCAGATGTTCCCTTTTTATCTAATTCCAATAGAGATGAGTAACATATTGGGAGGCAAATGGGAAAGGTGTAGGAAGCATGTTCATAATTGCCTGAAGATTTGGGAAGTATGGTTCAAAATTTGCCTCATAGAGAAAATATGAAATTCAGATAGGTATTGTTAGGGGCTGTGAAGTCGGTTCTGACTCATATGTCACAACAAAACACTACCTGATCCTCCTCCATCTTCACAATCATTACTGTGTTTGAGTACATTGTTGCAGCCACTCTGCCAGTCCCTCTCATTGAGGATCTTTGTTTTTTTTCACCTCGGAAGGAAGATTGGGCAATCTACTCCTAGAGATACAGTCTCAGAAATCCAAGGAGGGTTGCTATGAGTTGAATCAACTCGATGGCAGTGAGTTTGGTTTTTTTTTTTGTTTGGCATCTACACAGTGGCCCCTGGTGTTGGCAGTATTATCAGCGTTGTACAGGTTAGGTAAGGAGGGCTGCATTAAGCAACTGATATAACTAGTTAGAAGTTGGAGCACACATCTTTGTAACCCAAAAGCAGCAGTTCTCAGAGTGTAGCCTGCAGAC